ATCCAGAGACACATGAAGAGATGCTCAATATCGTTAGCTATCAGAGAGATGCAAATTAAAACCACAATGAGATACCACTTTACACCGGTCAGGATGGCTATCATAAACAAAGCAACAAACAATAAATGTTGGAGAGGTTGTGGGGAAAAGGGGACCCTAGTTCACTGTTGGTGGGATTGCAGACTGGTACAACCAGTATGGAAAACAGTATGGAATTTTCTCAGAAAAATAAAAATCGACTTGCCTTTTGACCCAGCAATTCCACTGCTAGGATTATATCCTAAGAATCCTAAAACATCAATATCAAAGAACCTATGCACCACAATGTTCATAGCAGCACAATTTACAATAGCCAAGAGCTGGAAGCAACCTAGGTGCCCATCAGTAAATTAATGGATCAAAAAATCGTGGTACATATACACAATGGAATTCTATGCAGCAGAGAGAAAAAAGGAGCTACTACCCTTTGCAACAACATGGATGGAACTGGAAAGCATTATGTTGAGTAAAATAGGCCAGGTGTTGAAAGACAAATACCATATGATCTCACCTTTAACAGGAAGCTAAACAACAAAACAAACAAGCAAGCAGAATAAAAACAAAGACACTGAAATAGAGAACAAGTGGGACAGTGACCAGAGGGGAGAAGGAAGAGAAGTTAAGGGGGAAAAGGGGGAGGGATTTTGAGGAACAAATATGAAGGACACAGGGACGAGGACTAAGGGGGGTGGAAATGGGAGGGAGGTGGGGAGCATGGGGGGGCTGGGATGGGAGAAATAGACAAAAAACTGTACTTGAAAAATAACTAAATAAAATTTAAAAAGAAAATGTTAAAAAAAGAAAATCAATGAATATAACTTACCATATTAATAAAATAAAAATTTAAATGTTTATCTCAATACATAACAAAAGAATAATTTCCAAATAAAAGTGCAGCCTCAAGAGAAAAAAAGTAAAGCTGTTCTTGATGAAGAGACATTTGAATCTTAAGACCCAGAGGACAGTCATGAGGGTGAGGGTGAGGGTCGGGGTGGGGAAGCACTGTGTCCGGGCAGGGACCCTGAAGCAGGATGAGAGTTTCTGTGCATGGGCCAGTGTGGCTGAGCCAGAGGGAGGTGGGCCGGCCAAGGGTGAGTGAAGCCTGACAGGCAGGCAGGGCCAGACCACGCCAGCCTTCCTTGCAGCCCAGGGGAAGCATTCAGCTTCCCTGTGTGGACAGTGGGGATGCTTGTGGGGTTCGGAGCAGGAAGGATCTATGTTGGAAGCAGGATAGAACTAAATCAGAGGAGTCAGGGATGCTGCAGGTAACATGGGTCTAGTTGCCTAGGTGGCCTGGGCTGGGGACCAGCAGTGGAATGGAGAGAATGGGGCCCCTCTGGAGATATGGAGGGGGTAGACTCTACCTCCCTGGTTTTGGATGGAGCGGGAGGAGCAAGGATGGCAGCCAGGTGTGTGGCTTTGTTGCTGGGTAAACTGGGATGCTATCTGCCAAGATGGGAATGGGATGGGGGGAGTGACTGGGTTCAGGAGATAATGACAGGTTCAGTTTTCATATGGTGAAAGGTGAGGACAGATGTGCTTGGAGGTCCCTCATTTTAGAGACAGGAAAAGGAGGCCCAGTGTCAGCAAGCAGTTTGCCCAGCTGATGAGCAGAGGCCAAGGCTGCCCACTGGTCCATGTTGCCTTATAAGAGCAGCAGGACCTGAGCAGAAATCACTTCACCAGTAGATTCTCAAGATCACTGAAGTCACTGTTTGGAAGGCCCACTTATTCTCCAGTTTTAAGTTCCAAGGTGAGGTCAGAAAAATATGCAGATGTCCTAGATACTTCACCGACCTTTGTGCACCCCCTGAAACAGGGGCATCTCCACTTGCTGGTGTGCAACCCCCTGAAACAGGGGAGTCTCTGCTTACTGGTGTGCACTACCCCCGAAACAGGGATACCTCTGCTTGCTGGTGTTGGGGGTGAGTCCCGCCCCCACCCCCAGCTTTAACCACAGCAATGGCACAATTGCCATCACCAGAGAGTGCTGCTTTTTGTGGAGGGTGACCTTAACACTTAGGTTTGGAGCCAGGCATCCTGCTAGATGCTGGGCATTATTTCATAGAGGGAGGTGTTATCCCAATGGTAGAGAGGGTGACGTTGAGGCCATGAAGCCAGAGCAGGATTTGGTACTTAAACCAGACTCCCTTTGATTGCACTAGGCTGCCTCAGTAGTCCTGACCCGGAGGTAACAGGACAGAGAATTCTGTAATACCACAACACTGAAACTGGGAGGAAGAGGGGACACACGGCACCTGGGCCAGCAGGTGCCAGCAGTTCCGGGAGAAGGGAAGTTATTAGTAGACTCACCTGCTAAGACACCCCTCTGGTGTCAGACATAGTGAGGCATCCAGGAGCCAATGCCGTGGGAGAAGAAAGACCTTGGGTCTAGCCCAGGGTGGTTTCGGGGTAGAACCAAAGGGCTCAGTGCCTCACTCTGGTGCTCCTCCTCCACCCCACATACTACCCTCCTGAGTGAATCTGGTTGATTAGAATGTGAGGTTGCAGGGTTTTCACTCCTCTCTGAGGTCAGGGCATCCATGTCACTCGAGTCTAAAATGACAGATACTACATAGTAGCCTTGTTGGTCTGTTGTTCAATGAGAGGCATAAAGGGGCCACAGGATCCCCTACTGGACAGTAAAGAACCCAAGAGTGGTGACCTACTTAGTACACTCATTAGCTTGGGTGGCGGGGCTGCTTGAGCTGGGGTCCTGTACAGCCCTGGGGCCTCTACAGAGAAGATGCTTAGAGAACCCAGAATCAGTATCAAGTCTAACTGGACCAAAGAGAAGCGGAGGTAGAGGTGGTGGTGAATTACATCATGCAAGAGACAGAAGACCCAACACAGACTGTTTTGGCACAAGTAGCAATTTATTGACTCATTAACTGAAATTCCAGGAGGAGCACTAGCTTCAGGTCTTGCTCAGCCCAGGGCCTCTGACAATGTCTCAGGGCATTGTCATCTCCTGGGTCTGCTTTCCACTGTGGAGGCTCCATTCTCAGGCAGGCTTTACCCCGTGCTGGTTCTAATTTCAGTAGAAAAAAATGCCTTTCTATGCAGTGAGTCTTAGCCAAAATCCCAGGACTGTCTCTGACTGGGTCACCCATCCCTGCTCCAATATCTGGGCCCAGGAGGAGGCCGTACTCAAACTGGCTCAACAGACTTTCATGTCCATCCTTGGGGCTGAGGATGGAGTTCAGACTATTTGACTTCAGGAACCAAGAGTGGGAGATAAATAGTCTCCAAAGGGAAGATTTGGGTGCTATTAGTATAGGAGGGATGAGTTGTGAAAACATGTCCACTATGGAGACTTTGGGAAGTCACTTCACCTCTGAAGTTCTGCTTCCTCATGTACCTATAAACTCGATGGCAGAAATGGATCTCATCAAGGAGAAAAGCCAAAGTGACCTGTCCCCTATTGCCACCTGCTTTCACAGGACCCCTAGCCTCCTGTGCAGTGCCCCTCAGGTATTTCTTAGCATCCCCACAGATTCACCAACGGGTCCCTTCAGGCTGGGAACAGAGCAATGAACTCTCTTGAGCATGGGAGCCCTTCAACCCCAGTGGGAAACAAATGCAAAAGAATCAACAAAATACAAATCAAATTAAATAAACTTGTTAATTTTAATCATTAACAGGACAAGTGCAAGCAGTGTGTGTGCACCACCCCATTTGTGGAGTGAGGGGAGAAGGACATATTTACAAAGCTATGAAAAAAAAACTCCCTTCCCCTATTAGTGAGAGGGTTCTAGGTAACTGACCCCTGGCAGCATGTGACGCTCCTGAGACATTTCTGTCCTGCGTCATCTGATGCACATGTACTAGGCACCTACTCAGAAGGAGCTGTGCTGGGTACAGGCTGGGAATATGACATCGCCCCAGATTTCCTGGAGCTAACAGGCTCGTGAGAAAAGGCAGGAACATTTGCAGAGAGGAAAAATTAAGACATGAGATTTGGCAATTGAATCATGGATAACCTGTACACCAAAAAACAGATCTTTGTTACACACTTGCCTAATGCCTTTGAAGCTGCTTCAGTTTCATCCTTTGCAAAGCAGAGCCAGGACTAGGGCAAAGGCCAGATGAGCGGTGACCTCAGAGGCAAAATTCAGTGGGAAGGAGACAAACAATTCAACAATTAATCTAAATCATCTTTGAGTGCAATAGTTTAAAAATAAAAATTAATGTTCAAAAGTTCAGAATGACCAAAATTGCACTTGCATGAGCTTCCCTGGCTTCCCTCACCCTCATCCCAGCTCTGGTTTCAGTGAAACATCATTTGTATGATGGCCCATAGGCTGTAGTTTGCATATTTGATTCTTTTTAAATATTGCATTAAGATATTGCTGACCTTGACAATCAAAGATTTTTTAAAGTACTCTCAAATCATACACCCTCACTTGCCTCTAGTCCCAGCCCTACTGCTAAGGACCCTTGAAAATAGAGTTGCCAGGTGAAATATAGGATGCACAATTAAAACTGAATTTTAGATAAAGTATATCTCAAGGGATATATGTTTACAAGGTTATTTGCTTATCCAGAATTCAAATCTAATGGAGCATGATGTGTTTTTATTTACTAAATCTGGCAACCCCACTTGAGAAGTGACATATAGCCCCCTTCTAACATAAGGTACTATTTAGTCCCATGACATCACACCCCACCCACATACACATACATTTTACACACTACACAGGCAACATTCCTAAGCATCAATACCCTGTTTCCACAGGATGCTCCTCCTCCCATCTTCTTTCCACTTCTTGTCTTAGAGTTTCACCCACTGAGCCAGACCCTAATTTCCTGGGCCCTCCTCAGCCTCCAGAAGCACCCTCTACTCAGGGTCTGGGACACCACTTGGATTTTGTGTGGGCAGAACGGGTTGCACAGGCCCGGCCCTCTCAGTGGCCTCAGCCCCCCACCCACCCCCCAACCCAGCATGCAGCCCTATTGCTTCACCTGACCCCTCCAGCTTTCAGCATCCATTTCCACACGGGGAGTGCAATTCCTGTCAGTGGGCACTAGGGGCAGGGAGAGCAGTGGCAAACCTCCTGGAGCACCAATGTGTCAGTGGCAAACCAAAAATGGCAGAGAAGGGGAGGGCAAGCAAGGCTCAAGGAAGCCAAGCTGAAAAAGGCAGGCAGAGCCAACAAGAGTAGGAAAGGACCAATGGGGGCCTCTCAGAGGGGCCCTCGGGTCCGGGATCAAACCTGAGAGGAAGGAGGGGGCTGTTACAAGTAAGACAGAACTTCTGCTGGAGACGAGATGGAGAGAGGAAGGAAAGACTTAGGAGAGGAGGAGGGGAGAAGAAGGAGAGGAATCAGGTTCTGTGGGCAGTGGGGGTGCCACTCTGTCTGAGGACAGCAGGCACATCACTGCCAGACTTCTGAATTCAGAGCACCACTGGCTTGGCCCACCATTGGCCATCTAGGCGGGGTTCTAGCTCTACACACTTGGGCTTGCATCAGAACTACCTGGGAAGCTCTTTACCCAACTGCCACCCCCGACCATCCTTCCAGACACACTGTTCCATACTCTGCCAGGAGCCAGACTATGCAGGTAAAACCCTTCCCAGGTGGTCCTTCTACACCCTGCACACAGCCCCACATGGAAACCTTGTGCCACCAGGTAAAGAAAGAGATGCCACATGCCCTATTTTATAGCAGACATCTCTCTGTATCTTGGGGCTCCATTCACTTGAATTTAGGGCCAGCCCCAGAGGCTGGTGGTCATTCTGGAAAACACCAGTGGGGTTATTAGGATGACAAGGGCAGGCAGAAGGGGTGAGCGTTTATGCAACCTCAAGGAGAGCAAAGTGGACTGAGTGCAAGAGGAGTGTAATGAGTGTGCCCCACAATACCCATCTGGCTTGGCTGCCTCCTCTGCCACCCAACTCAGGAGTCCCCAGTGGGCAGAGCCAGAGCCCAGCTGCCTGCCTAGGTCTCACTCTCCTCCAGAATCTCCTCCATGGTGTGGGCCAGAGAGAAGTCTCCCTCACTGCTCTCGGACAGGCTGCAGCCATAGGACCAGGCTGCATGGCCCCGTTGGGACCTGGTGCCTGGCTCCCCCAGGCCCTGTGCAGTCAGCTGCAGGAGCTGCCCGCTGCCAGGCAAACACGGCGGCCTCTGCAGGGCCCTGGCACTGTCTCCCTTGGAGAACTTCTTGGGACAATTCCTCAGGAACCGGAAATTCTTCTCTAGGACCCAGGCTCTGCAGCCCGAGTGGTGGGCTAGCAGGAAGCGTACCCAGGACTTCCGCAGCTCGGCCTTCACCTGCCAGAGGAGAAGAGGGCAGGGTTACTGTCTCAGGGTAATTTGGTCGAGCGACCTCTCAACAAATATTTACTGATTAGGTGGTGAATCTGGGCCACCTTGGGAAATATACCTTCTACTTGGGGAAAATGAACAAAGAGAAGTGAACCAACCCATTAGCAGAGCAGATGGAAGTGACACTGGGAGTCTATTAAGTGAGACAAGGAGGGAAGGAAACAAAGTTTGGGATATGGTTGAACAGAAAGGAAAAGGAAAGGACTGTGTCACGGTGGCATTGGAGGCCCACCTGATGAATGAAGGACCCTGCATGAAGCCGTGAGCAAGATGAAAGTGGGTTTGCTGTCAAGAAGCTTACATTCTGGAGGGAGGAGACAGAAATAAACGTTTGAGCCTGGGGTGGGGGGAGGAGAAGATGAAAGGGGACTAGAAATTTCCTTGACTCCTGAGATCAGGTGAAAACTGTTCTGGCTTCTGCCCCTTTCAAGCTTCTTTCCCAGGAGCAGAGAACTGGTTGGGGATATGCAATAGGGATAATAAAAATGATCATAGTTATCAGGTATTAGGCCTTTATCACGAGCTCGGCATGCCCAGGGCAACATGAGAAGGTAGGGACAGTGGTTATTCCCACTTTACAGATAGGGAAATGGGCTCAAAGAGCCACAGTGACCTCAATCAGAGCTCCCAAGTGAGTGAGTGATGGCTACCGTCTGGATGTCTGGACTCCAGAGTTCAAGCCTGTGTCCTCTATCACACTCCCACTGCCAGCCTGTCTCCAGCAGGGCCAGGATGGGGTTCTGAGCTTCCTTACATGCACCCCATCTCCTTTTCCCAGTGATCTAAGCTGCCTCCTCCTCTCGCCCCTGGAAATTTGTCCCACTGCAGGGCAGTCACTGGACACTCGCCCATGGTACTGTCATGGAACCAGGGGACCCTGAGGGCAGCAGGATGCCAGCCCAGCCCTGCAGGAAGCTAGATGGCAGCATAGAAAACATACCTCTCCATTGGCAAAACAATACTGCAAGGCCACAAGCAGCCCCTGGAATGGAAAGAAGAGGTGGCATGAACTTTGACTCAGTAGGCACTGTGTCTGAAAGTCCAGAGTCCTGCCCCAGTTCCAGTAGCCCCCCGGAGAGGCAGGCACCTACACTGCTTGCACTGCCTAGAGTTAGTCACACTGGGCAACTGGGTTTCCATGAGGGCTCTTCCTTTGACACTCACCACCCATACCAGCCTAGGTATTTGCTTAGGTACTTGTAGGTCAATGATGATTAAATCCTAAAGATCCTGTATCATTCATTCAGCTATACAAATTCCATGCAGGGCCACTGGCTCCTTTCTCCTCATCCATGGTGGGCATTGCCTAATTTCTTGCCTCCCTTGAATCCTCTCCTTTTGGAAACTGACCTTCCCCTATTCCCTTTCCCTAGGCTTCTGTCAGGGTCAATCATGCAGTCCCCACATTCTAGGATGGCCATCACTACAATATAATCCACCCAAATGGTCATGCGACCTAATCTAAGATCCTGTCACTGGGAAAGAAGAGAGGGTTGTACCCTCTTCCCTAGATTTGACAGCTTTATAGTCAAAATAAGCCTGGAGATACTTCTGGGCATCTTGCCAACTACATGGAGAAAGCCCACCTAAGAATGAAGCCAACAGAGAGAGAGGCAGAGACTGGAGGCGATGAAAGGCAGAATTCTGGTGATGCTGAGTGTCTGGGCCCAGCGATGCCTAATTCTGATGTTTTCATTTATGTGAGATAGTAAACACCTCTTTTCCTTGTCAAAATATTTCTTTAGAAAGTATAGATGATTTCACACCAGTGGTTTCTCATTGCACCTAGATGAATATGAAACGTAGCCACCACAGGCACTAAGGTGATCTGAGGTGTCTGCACCACTGGCTACGCCTTGTACTGTGCTTCCCCAGGGCCCAGTATCCCCGCCACACAGGCCTCGGGCTTCCTCCAGCATCTCCAGCTCGTGTAGTAATTACCTGTTGCTGTGTTGCTGTATAACTTAGTGAACCAAAACCATACAGATTATCATCTCATATACTTTCTATGGGCCAAGAATCTGGCAGTGGCTTAGCTGGGTGATCTGAATCAGGTTGTAGTCTAAAGGTCAGTAGGAACTCCAGTCATCTGAGGGCTTGAGTTGCTTCCATGATGGTTCACATGCCTGGCCAGTTAGTGCTGGTTGCTGGTAGGAGGCCTCAGTCTCCCTCCACAGAGCTGATTGAGTGTCCTCACAACATGGCAGCTGGCTTCCTCCACAGGGGCCAAGTCAAAGGAGCACAGCAGAAGCCACAGCCCATTTAGGAACTGCCCTGAAAAGCTGCATACCTTCACATCCACAATTCTTATGGTCACACATGTCTTGCTTGGTACATTGTCAGACCACTTGTAAAATATGATGGGACCACTTCTTTCTGTCCTCTTCCTAGTTATTTAGAATTCTGGACCCAAGGATCACAATGAAAACAACGGACCACCTTTATATAACATTTTCAATGACCAAGTATTTGTGTCGGAAAAGTTTTAATAAAGGGATCATCTTTTGATGTTGGAAAAACTCTCTGGATTCACTGCTTAACTGCCAGAGGTCTTGGACCAAAGATCTTGAGTTAATGTTTGTTTCCACTGTTTTTCCAGACTCCTATGCTTCCTGATTTATTAAACAGTCTCACATCCCTGTGGTGTGAGGGTCTGTGGGGCTGGGGCTGTGTGTCTAATACACTGAAGCTAGCTGTGTGTACTGGGCCCAATGGCTTGAGTGTTTACAGAAATAATCTCATAAAACACCAGAACTCACAAGGAGATAACAAGTTCCAACGTGAGGGACCCAGTGCAGACCAACTCTCCCATTTCTCTTAGTAACATTTCTCTCAACCCCATTTCTGGTAAGGGAAGTTCAGCACCAGAAAAAAATGATGAAATTGAAAAGGAATTATAAAACAATGCCCTAGGGGAAGATTTTTATGCTCTTCCTCATGGAAGGCTGACATCTTCATGCTGACTATCACAACATCAATCAAATGGTGTAGATTCTCCCCAATCATGCGGAATTTTTTATGTCTTGTGCATCTAGCTACTCCAAGGCTATGACTCCTAAACAGGAGCATGGTGGTAGCAGTTAAACATTTTCATACATGCATCCTCACTGGAGGTTTTCAGGTGCCCTCTATAGGGGGCAGAGCCAGGAGTATTGGCCTTCGGGCCCATGATATTAGAGGGTGTCGTAGAGTGCGTCAGAATCCTCACGAATGAGTTAGCTAAAACAGGATTCCACATCATAGACATGTCTGTCATTCCCTCAGGTTCTGGATTCACTCTTTTAGGAACATCCTAGAGTCTGCTCAACTCTCATCCTAATAAAGTAAGTGTGAAGAGAGAGGCCCCAAAGGATATATGTCATCTCTACTTGTCAGTCTCTCCAAAGATCCTCAATGGTAGGAAGTGGTGAAAATTGCTAAGCAATAAGCACTTGAAAGAGCAAGGGACTCTCAAAAGCAGCAAGAAAAGATCCAGTGCTGATTCACTATGGTATGACCCACCAAATATGCCCCTGTGCATCTGCCCACCCATTATTCTCACCTCTGCGTGGTGGAATGGAAGGGAACAGTGCGGGGGTATTAGGGAGGTGGGAGGCCTTGGACCATGCACACCCACCCTAAATGTGTTTACCGGCTCAGCCCGCAGAGCCACTCTGCTTGCTTGCACTCCTCAGTGTTGTACTACAGTGAGTGGAACTCTGTCTGGCTGCAGATCCAAAGGATCCAGGGTGGTCACTAGACCCCAGAGATGGCTCCGATGGTTCCTCCCCCCTCTGTAGGCATATGCTCTTTCTCACCTCAAGAGGTGGACCTTATTCTTCCTTTGAATCTAGGATAAATTTGTGACTCCTTCTACCAATAATACAATGTGGTAAAAGTGACATTCTGGGACTTCTGCACCCATGTCTCAGGAATGTTGGAAGTTTCTACTTTCTCTTTCTCAGAACATTTGTTTTTGGGAGGCTCCAAAAGTCTAGCTGCCATGGTGGGAGATGTCCAACATACGTGGAGAGGCCACTTGGAGAACTGCAACTCCTTTGCTAATTGGTAGCCTCCGCTGAGCTCAGCCAACAGCCTGGGTCAATGCCTAGCCATGCAACTGAGCCATCTTGGATGTCCCAGGCCAATCAAGCCTTCAGATGTTTGCAGCTCGAGCCAAAAATCACATGTATCAAAAGGACCACTGCATCTGACTCCAGAGAGCCCAGCTCATGGAATCATGAGAGTTAATAATGTAATTACTGCCTTACACCATGACGTTTTGGAGTCATTTGTTACATACCAATAGATGACTCAGACATGCTTGCTCCCTTGCCAGAGAAGCATGATGGGACAGAATTCCTTCTCAGAAATCTTTCCCTTGGGGAAAAAAATGGCCACCAAGTACTACTGATATAACAGCTGCAGCTTTCTGTTGTTATTGTATTTTCTAATTTCGGATTACCTTTCAAAGAAGATTAAGACCAAACAACATAGGAAACCAAAATCACTAAACCTTAGCTTTTGAAATCTCTCAAAAGATTGACATAATTAAACATGGTTTTATACTGAAAAAAAAATGCTGATTGCTCCTCTGTCTCAGTTCAAAGCTGCACAAAATTCAGCTCTAATAGGAGGGAAATGGCCATCGTCCAGCTGCTCAGCCCATCCCTCAGGCTCTGTCTCCCTGGCCTTTTGTGGGTGTGTGCTGGGCAGGCACATTGTCTCCACTCTGCCCCCACAATTGCAGCACCTGACCCTGTCTGCTGGCAGGGGTTTATTTTGGTGTCTCCTGGTTCTGACCTGGTTCATGGCCCCGAGGGGCACGATGCTATGATGGTTACAAGTAGGGGTTGAGCTTAACCTCTGCCTACAAATTTACTTCTGGCACTTACTAGAGTTTGCAGGTTCTCTGAGTCTCAGTTCCTTCATTTTTAAAATGGCACAGTACATTCTCCTTCACAAGACAATGTGAGTATTCAATGAGATTGAAAGTATTTGAGAGTAGACGGATATTTTCTAGCATACCATTTTAACTCCTCTGCTTGTATTCATACTATATGTTTATCGTTACTTTCCTGGTTTCATAGCAGAGGCTACACCATGCATCTTAACTTGCCATAAGGTATTTCATATTAATACTAACAATTCTGGTAAAATACAGAAACATCTTCAATACAGTTCTATTCTTCCTCGTTCTTTTGTGCTATTATTATTATAAGATATTAGATCATTATATAATATAGTTTATAGCAATAATAAAGTTTATAATTATCTTATTAAATCTTATGTTTTTAAAATTAGTTGAATAAAGGAGAAAAAATATCTTTACATCTTTCATATTTACCTATGTGTTTACTTTTTCTAGTGCTCTTTCTTCATTCACATTTGAGTTATTGAGTCTTGTCACTTTCCTCCATCTGACAGACTACCCCTGGTATTCCTCTTAAGGAGGGTTGCTAGCAATAAGTTACCTTAGTCTCTGTTTATTTGAATATGTCTTTTTTTACCTCAATTTCAAAGCATAATTTTTCCTAAATATAGAATACCAGATTAAATTAAATTATCTTGTCTTTCAGCATTTTGATTACATCATTCCTCTGCTTTGGAGTCTTTCTTTCTTTCTTCTCTCTCTCTTTCAGTTACAAAATTTAACTGTAAGGATCAAGCCATGGTTATTGGTTAAACAACCCACATTCATAGCTTTGAAGTGCGTGGGCACTAGTACTTAAATAAAGGTGACAAATACCAATCAGATTCTCATAACACTGTTCAGGATAATTCTGAACACAGTTCAATACACAAGACTAAGAGTGATAGCAATCACCAATGATCAAACCAAAGGCATTGTTTTCCAAATCACTTTAAGTTAAACAGAATTCTAGCTTTCTAAAAGTCTACATCTACATAAAAACTCAAAGCAGTCTAAAGATGTTTCAACCTGAGATCAAAGAAAGTTTATATTTTTATATTTAAACATAATTCTTGACATTGAGGTAAATCTGAAATCACATGATGTAGTTTGTCAAATCTTCCCTCCAAAATTTAAGCCCTGCTTTAGAGAGAAATTCTCATGATACACATACATATTTATGTATTTTTCTTCAAAGACTAATGACAAATTTATGAGGTTAATAGGCTTGAATTGGAACCATGATGCTAATATGAAAATAAAAATCCACACATTTGTAAAAAGTGTTCTTGCATGGTGTAATATGAAATGTGATCACAGGATCTATGTATATATAAGAGTCATTAAGAGTTCAGGAATTAAGCTAATTTTAAGAAAAGTCATTCTATAATTTTTTGAAGCAGAGGTTATAAAGTTGTGATGTATAAAAATGTATTATGCATGATAAAAACTCCAGAACCAAGTATGAGCATAATTTGGCAATAACTGCAACTCAAATTAAAATCTAAATACGACTGGATCTTTACTGTGGCAATGCAACTTTTTGCTCTGTGGCCTGAGGTTTTACTAAGGAAACAACCTCTTAATCTCTTGCTTCTCCTCGTATTTCCCAACCCTGCCCCCAGCTTCCTTTTTCAGGGCTGTCTTTGGCAATGACTTCAAATCTTCAAAAGCAGAAGAACTCGTTACAGTAAATGAGGAGGGTGAAAAACAATGCTACATATGATGTAAAATAACCAAGCTAAGAGCATAAACTGAGAAAATACCAGAAGGAAGGCTGAGCAACTGTCTATCCTCAAGGGAAAAAGAGAAAACAGAGGAGCAGTTACTCCTTGCCCTTCCTTCTTCCACGTTATCTCCTGATTAGAAGAGTGTGGAACCAAACTTTCAAACTCTGAAAATGTGCTGACGCTGAAGGAAGAGGCGAGTGAGTAAATGCTGAGGAAGTACAGCAGGACTTCAGCTGTCAATGAGTGTCTTTACCCCGGCATCAGCAATGTCAATGTGATCTCTGCTAATGTCAGCCTTGTCTGTGATCCAGTCTATCTGTTGATTTTGAGCCTCAATCACAATGCCCGTGTCCAGGGCCATGTTTTTTAGATTTCCCAGGATACTGCCCACTTGAGTCAGGTTCTCCTCCATTTCACCTTCTCTGGCATCATTTGCTATATGTTTAATATATCCACCACTGGCTTCTCCTGTGGTTGCTTGCTGAGGCTGACCATTTGTCACTCAGGCTGGCTGCTTAGAGCCAACGTTGTTAAAAGAGTTGTCTTTGTGATCTCCCTATGTTCCTTAGAAGACTTGGCAGACTCAAAGTTCTTTGTCCTGTAGCATGAACAAACACAAAGGCCAAAGCACTTGTCAAGTTCTGTTTAAATCTTATCTGCCTCACACTGTCTTTATGGATTTGGTCCATGCCTTCTTCTATGTGGTTTAGTTGTTCCCCTTGTTCATCCAGCACAGTGACAGTCTTGATTCCTGCGTCCTGAGACTCAGTGGCTAAACCCAGGGTTCTCCTTGTACTTTCCAGAGACTCATCAGTAACCTGTTCAGCCCTCGATTGTATTTATTCTGATGACAGATTATCCCTGATGAATTTAAACTCTTGAGAGGTACAGAAACTGAAATGTGGATATTTCAGCAGTTCTGGGCACTCCTCTCTGGCCACGGCAGCTCTAGTCTCCACTGTTCTTGATCACAGTCAGCCATAATTCTATTGTTGGTCCCCAGATGGAATCAGTCATTTTTCTCTCGTTATTTTCAGTTACTTTCTTTTTGTGTTTGGCTTCCAACAGTTTAATTCTAATGTTTCTAGCTGTGAAACTCTTTGTTTTATATTATTTGGAGCTCACTGAGCTTCCCGGATGCCTAGATTAGTGTTTTTCATCAAATTGGGAAAGTTTTCAACCATTATTTCTCCAAATGACTTTTCTACCTTTTTCTAACTCCCTTCGCTTTTTGGGACTCCCATATGTGCGTGTTGATTTTCTTGATGGCATTTCACAGATCACTGCAGCTCTGTTATTTTTCTTCATTTCTTTTTCCTCTGTTTCTCAACCTAGGTAATCATAATTGAACTATCTTTAAGTTCACTGGTGCTTTCTTCTGCCACCTTAATTAATATGGAGCCTCTCTGCCCCAACTAAGATCATAGCCTCAGGCTGTGACATTGTCTTTGCTCGTTCTTTTGCCACTAAGAGCACTGATGTATCTGAAAACACTCAGGGGAGTGAGCTTCTTCTGCTGTCTGATTTATACCAAGCCAGTCCCTTTCTCCAGTGAAGCTGCTAGTTTTCGCTAGAATTTGCTCATTTATGGAGGAGGGGCTGGAGAGCAAGAACAGTCTCAGGACAAAAAAAAAAAACCCCACAGATTCCCACTGCTTTTACTCAGGTTCAGTAATTTTTCTTGGATAAACTCATCTCAATCTTTAGTATGCCTTTGATTGATTTCCAGGGTCTTGAAATGGATGTTATTGACAATTATGTCCAGTTTTATATTTGCTTCTTGCAGACAGGATTTGCCAAGCTTCTCTCTTCTCCATTCCAGATATCCTCCTACTAGACTAGCATTTTAAGATGATTAGTTCCAATATTACTACTGTATGGGGCCTTTGCGGTGTCCGTACTATTTGTGGCAGTCTTTTGCACAGTGGCCTTTGCTAATGAGCCATGCTTCCCAGTTTTCATGCCATGTGCAGTCTCCTCCCCTTCCATTGAGGCTGGGTCTTTAAATAGACTTACTTTAAAATAGTGTAAAGTAGTAGTGTCACTATGCAAGTTCAAGGTCTAGACATTTAGAAGACCTAGAAGTCTGCTTTTGTGCTCGTAAGAGCCCTGAACTGCCACATGAAGTGTAACTACCCTGCTAGAGAAACCATGAGAATAGAGCATACAGAGAGTGAGAGAACATGCAGAAAGTCCTAAGACTGCATGGGACTGATAAATGTAATTGACAGTGAGAAATGAAGCCCCAGAAACTTGACTCAAACAAAGCCACTCCTGCCAGCCCTAGTCATTCGAGCCTTTCCAGCTTAGGAGCCAGACATACAAGTGGAGAAGCCATCTTGTGAGTTTTAGCCAGGAGGCATCAAATGGCACAGAGGTGAGTCATCTTTGTCATGTCATACCTGGATTTCTGACTCCCAGAATCATGAGAATAAAAATAATTACTGCCATTTTGAGCTACTGAGTAATGGATAACAATTCAAGCAACGGTTAATTAAAATACCAAGGTAAATAAACCACAGCTGGCCTCCTGGTTCTTACTTCAGCCCCCACACATTTGTCAAGGTTTAAGAGCCTTGTGGTCTCAACTCATTGGTCCCTGCTGAAGTTGTGTTGTATTCTGAGTACACCACCAGAGGTAAATACAATGTTCATTTTGCACAATGCTCTGCAGAGAACCCAGTAAAAATAGGCATTTAATAAAAGGCTTCATGTTGACACAGTTAATATGATCCTGAGTCACATTAACAATTACAGCCCAGGAAACAGACCACTTTTCACTGCTTAGCCACTACATCATGCTGGCAGGATCAAAGCAACAGGTCCATCTACACTCCCTTCTAATGCCAAAAGCCCTCACTGATAAAGCCTGCTGATTCTAGAATTCTTATTTGCACCTGTGAGCTTTCTCAATCTTGAGTCTGTTCGGATCAAGGGCACTTTGTTTTCTCCAAAGCCAAGGCATCCTGGTTCAGATGCTTACTTACATGGAAGGAGCTCAGAGTCAACTGAATGAAGAGTCGTATAAGTCTTGAAAATCCTTGAACTTGATCATCAGAGATAAAAGAGAAGATAACCTCATGAACACCCAATAAAGGAATGAGAACCAATGTTGATTTTGCCAACCTGCAACGACAACCAAATAACTATTGTGAGGGCCACATTGGGAACAGGCAACACTTCCTGCTCTTCTGGGCATGCCTTTATTGTAGCTGTTATCATATTGATAAACTATTGATTTTCCAGTTTGTTTTCTTGGCTACACATCATACCTTAAGGGCCAGTGTGGTCTTGTCCTTTGGTGCATCCCAACACCTGACTCATGGCAGATACTCAGAAAATGTGAATTGAATGAATGAATGAATAAGTTCCCCCACATAGATTATGATATATCTACAGATATACTTACATTTTGCTGATGGATACATTTTCATGCACATGGCTATCACCCTGGGGTGCTACACCTCTACGAGGTTTGACAAGTGTCTTATTACCTGGCTCACTGGTGCCTCTGTCTCTGTCTCTGCCAGGACTCCCAGTATCAGTGCTTCACTGAGCAGAGAAGCGGGGGGGAAATAACACTTGCCCAGGGTCACAGGGCCACTAAGCACCAAATAGCCACCTGTAAGCAGGGCTTCTGACTTCACACTTAGGCCCTGCACACCCCTGGCGGGGCTCCACCATCATTCCTCACGTGGCCCCTCAGCCCTGGTGATGACGAGAGTGCAGGAAATGAGAAAATGAGCCTCCTCATAAAAAGTGCTGGGTGGAAACTCCCTGCTGTATACACTGCACACAAAAAGACAAACATTCCTTTGTATCACACATGTGCAAAGTGCACATCTGGGGCCCACACATTCCACATCACATAGTGGTGGTTCCCAAACATGGCTGAGTATTTGACTACTAGAATGCCTCACAGAGCTATATACACACATTTTCCTGGCCTCTGGGATGATTCTCTGAATCAAAACCTCTGGAGTCTGGGTCCTGGGAAGGTGCACTGTTGAGGAATTTGCCTATGGGCTTCTGATGAGCAGCCACATTTGGAAACAACTGCTCTTTACCATTGAGCTGCTTCTTGATTTAAAACTGACTCTGATAGCAAGGATGATTCATACTCAGGGCACAAACAAAGCTACTGCTTTTTAGACATTGGGGAAAAGAGCTTAATTGTAATGAGTATTTTTAGCCCAATTCCCTTTCTTGAAGGGCCAGACTAGGAGGTCTCCACCCAACCCCCTGGAATGAAAGACAGAAATCGTGGAGGGTCAGCAGCAGCTCGTGGGCAGTGTCTTCAAGAAGGCATAACTCTCTCCAAGAGAAAGCAGTGCTTGCTGTGAGTCCTGGTTCTGTGAGACCCATTCAACTGCAGGGTCATCAAGGAAGCAAAGCAACTCACCTTTGTTCTAAAAGGACCTAAAGCCAGTAAGAGCAGAGCAGGAGTCACCCAGAAGGAGGAACTCCACTCAGGCACACGGGCTGTGCCCATAGCCTCGACCATCCAGGAGAGGCCAAGGAGTGGGGAGTCTGAGACACAAGCCCTGGTGATGTGGCTTGCCTGTGCCAAGCCTGAGTGCCCTCCTGCTCTCAGATCCACCCATGCAGCACTCACTAGCTAAGCAACAGCAAGGTGTTCCCAAGAAGAGACTATTTCAAGACAGATTGCTTTTGTTGTTTTTAATTTCCAGGAGCGTTTTAAAACCTGCTGGCTTGGAGCTTGCAAAATGGCAGCGTGAGCTGTATTTGACCCCTGGACATTTTCTGTTTCTGCTAGGCAGTGTTTTTTTGTTACTGAAACCACCTTTAAATGATGAGATTTTAAGCAATGACTTCCAGATTTGCAGCTTCCTTTGAAAAATGGGGAGATCAGGACCAAATTCTTGCTTGGCAATGATCAGCAACAGCCTGACAGTGGCTGTCCCTTTAGAGGGAACATGTGCTTTCCAGCCCCCAAGCAGCCTGCCATGTCTCTGCAAGCGTCTGAGGTTGCAACACTTGCTCTGGTTACATTCTCCCACACAGACCTGTGTCTCACCATCAGCTTATTCTTATGGCTTTGCTACAGCATTATGTTTTTAAATAAACTTTTTATTTTGAAATAACCTCAGATATGTAGAAAAGTAGCCAAGATAATACAGAGAGTTCCCAGAGACCCTTCACTCTGTTTCCCCTGATGTTAAAATCTCACATAATCACAGTACATTTATCCAAACTGAGAAACCAACCCTGGTGTGTGACTAACAACTTTACTCCAGACTGTATTAAAATTTCACCAGTTTTTCCACTAATGTTCTTTTCATGTACCAGGATCCAATCCAAGACCCCACATTTCTTGTGGGGTGATTTTTAAAGAATGACCAGCATTTTGTGAAGTTCTGGGTCATTTTAATAACCACCATGTCTTCGGATGGATGTCATAAGTGATTTCCCACTCCTCACTTTATTCTAACTTCTCTCAGGCAAAGGATTATTTGTGTCCCTGTTTAGATAAAAATCCATAAATATCTATAGGCATTTACTCTTATGAACTGGGTTTATGCTTATTTTTTATTTTTATTCATTTTTTTATTTAGATGGCTTACTTTATTGCAGTCATTTAGCTATTCAGTAAATATTTACATCTGCTATAGCACATGAGAGAGTACAGTGGGAGGTGAGGAGCTGGGGTCAAGGGCAGGAGAATATCTGAGACCTGGGTTCAAATCCCAGCACGCCCAAGTGTTAACGATGTGACCTTGGGCAAATTATTTAACCTTTTTATTGGTAAAAATGAGGATTATACAAATAAGAATGTAATATAAAATAATGAAATAAAATAAAATATTACTAATAATAATATCTGACAGTGTCATGGTAAGGATTAACACATGGTAAATCCTCAGAATAAATGGTGTCTGATATGTGATGAATGACCACAAAAATTTAGCTAGCCCTATTTTGAAAGAAGCCATCTCTGCCCTCAAGTTGCTTACAACCTCAATGACTTTGATCGTTTACTTCCATTTGTGATGTTTTTCTAGTTGCCCACCAGAAAATCCTTTCAGAAAAAGCTCCTGAGTTTAGCATGTTGAAAAATGATTCTCCTTCATAAACTCATTAAGAGCTCTGCCCCACACATCTCGTGGACAGTGGAGACTGTTTATCCAGGGGAAGTGAGCCCCCTCCATGCTGGAACCACAAGGCATAGAGATGTCGGACCATGCTGAGGGTCCGCAGGTGTCCGTCTGCACCCAGGGCCGATGCCCTCACTCAGCCATGGTGCAGCCCTCGCCCTCCAGGCTCAACAACAGATGGGCTAACTGCGGTTTCCTCCACTGGAGCAGTACAAGCCTACATATGAGGAGTAGGACCACAGAAAGTTCTCCAGATCCTAGCAACCTGCCTCTTTGGCAAATTTTAAATGTGTTTAATTTAAACGTTCCTAAAATAGACTTCTGGAGGGGGACCAAATCTTGAGAGCTGTGTTCTGAAAGTTTCCAAAAATCTAAGGAAACTTGGAGATGGGACCGTTCTTACCAGAGTTTGTACAAAACTGCAGTAGGCCCTGTTGCCCACACCCCTTCTCCTTACCCAGCAGAGGGCTCTAATGGGAAACAAACATGGGCGGGCAGAAGAGGAGACCCTTCCAGCATGGAGGAAGGCAGGGTGGGCTGGGGGTGCTGATGCCCCATGGAGGTGACAGGAAGCAGCCCTCCCTGAACTTGGAAATGAAGAAGTCGGCACAGCTTGGGCAAATGTGCTCATGACTGCTGTAGGAGTCACCAGCCCAGGAGTGAAATAAAGTGGCCTGGGTGTGTCCCGAGAGATAGGACCCTGACATTTTGCTAATTAATAGCATAAGTGAATCAATTGTATTGTACTCTGTGTGGACAAGGAGTTGGTAAGCAGAAGGCAAATGACCAACCAAAGTGGCAGGAAACATCACAAAAAAGCAGGAATTTCTCAGCACTTATCAGGCCCTGTCTGTGAAGACCGGGGAATGAACTACATTCCCACCTGGTGGGTAGTACAGGACAGTGGTGGTTTCTCGGGCCACCAGCAAGGATCCTTCATCACTAATCACTCTACTTGGAGAATGTGATCACCAGTAACATCCTAGTGACAGCTATCTGTTTCTGGATCTTTTTTTAAACATTTTTTATTGTTGTTCAAGTACAGTTTTCTGCCTTTTCCCCCCACCCCTCCCCACCACCCCAACCCTCCCCACCTCCCTCCCCTGTTTCCGTCCCCCCACCCCCCATTATTGTCCACACATCCTTTATACTTGTTCCTGCAAACCCTTCACTCTTTTCCCCTATAATCCCCTCTGGTCACTGTCAGCCTGTTCTCAATTTCAGTGTCTTTGGTTATATTTTGCTTGCTTGGTTGTTTTGTTGATTAGGCTCCTGTTAAAGGTGAGGTCATACAGTATTTTTCTTTCACTGCCTGGCTTATTTTACTTAGCATAATACTCTCCAGTTCCATCCATGTTGTCACAAAAGACAGGAGCTCTTTCTTTCTTTCTGCTTACACATAGAATTCCATTGTGTAAATGTACCATAGTTTTTTTGATCCATTCATTTCTGATGGGCACTTAGTTTGCTTCCAGCACTTAGCTATAGTAAATTGTGCTGCTATGAACATTGGGGTGCATGGATTCTTTTGGATTAGTGTTTCAGGGCTCTTAGGGTATAATCCCATCAGTGGAATTTCTTGGTCAAAAGGCAGTTCCCTTTTTAGTTTTCTGAGGATATTCCACACTGTTTTCCATAGTGGCTGCAGCAGTCTGCAATCCCACCAACAGTGCACTAGGATTCCCTTTTCTCCACAACCTCTCCAACACTTGTTGTTTGTTGCTTTGTTTATGATGGCCATTCTCAACAGTGTGAGGTGGTATTTCACTGTGGTTTTAATTTACATCTCTCTGATAGCTAGCGATATTGAGCATCTTTTCATATGTCTCTGGACCCTCTGTATGTCCTACTCAGAGAAGTGTCTGTTCAAGTCCTTTGCCCATTTTTTAAGTGGATTGCTTATCTTCTTACAGTGTATTCATGTGAGTTCTTTATATAGTTTGGAAATCAAACCCTTGTCTGAGGTATCATTGGCAAATATGTTTTCCCATATAGTTGGTACTCTTTTCATTTTAATGCTGTTTTCTTTAGCTGTGCAGAAGCTTTTTATTTTGATGAGACCCCATTTGTTTACTATTTTCTTTATGTCTCTTGCTCTAGGAGACATATCAGTGAAAATATTGCTGCATGGAATATCTGAGATTTTCCTGCCTATGATCTCCTCTATGCTTCTGGATCTTTGTAAAGTATCAGCTTTACAAAGACCAGGGGAACTAGAAGAAGCTTCCCCCAACCTCCATCTTCCACAGTCTCTGAGAATGAATAGTTGTATAATCTAGTTTACATTTAGTGTCTTGTGAGTTCTATTGGCATCAGCCATCCAAAGTCTCAGCCACTCGAGCACACTCATGGGTCCCCAGTACAGTTCCCAGGTAGTGGCAAACTTGCCAAGATGAGATGTCTCATCCTGAGAGGGCCCTAGGTAGTCCTGCACCCAGGTTCCTCTTTTCAAGCTTTTTCCCCATACAAGGGTGGGGAAAGGAAAAGGAAGTTTTCAGACATATTGTATATGTCAGGCAGGGTTCCTCTTTCTCTCCCCAAAATAGCCATGCAAAATCACTGCTCAGCCATGAGGGTCTCCCCAGTGTCTTTACTTATCCTTTCCTAAATCCTTGGCTCCCAATGGGGCGTCACACTCCAGGGCTGTGCAAGGCAATCTATTTGGTATTGGAAGAAAATATAATAAAAGAAGGTAGCAGAAGTTCTATGTATATTCATTTTCACCCACCCTTTATAATTTTCCATTGTTTGATTTATATTATGATACACATAATAGGTCAGCAGACCATATGCATGTATGATGAGGGTCATGCTCAAAATTTATTTACTGATAGAGGTGCATGATCAGAAAAATTTAGAAACCACTCTTGGAGAACTGTAAAGAAGACCTTGGAAAAAGTATATTAAGGTGGCTTAGAAACATATTTACCATGGCCCATCCAGAAAATGCTATGCCTTGTTTCTCATCTGATCCAGTGCCCCCCACTGAGTCAGAATGCTCAGTGGAGGGGCTCACCAGCCTGTGCTTTAGGCCAGCTGCCAGGAGATGCTTAAGAGCAGCCAGGATGGAAAGCTACTGTAAGGACTGTTGTGGGTCTGGAGCATGGGAAGACCAAGTGGTACATGGTGGGTTTTAGGGATACAGAATAGCAGGGTTTAAGCTCTGTCTTTGTGGAAAGTGGTGCTTTGGCATTTGTCTGCTCCTATTTCTGGCTTCTGGGAATGCTGTCCTCTGCTGGGTTTCCCAGGTGCCTGAGTTTCCCCTGAGACTGATTAGTAAGAGAACTGCTCCCCTGAAAGGACTCACATAGAATAGACTAGAGCATCTCTGCTCTTGGCCTTGGACTTCCACTTTCAGAAAGTGGTAAGGGAAGCCAAGCTTTAGTAAAAGATCCAAAGAAACTGTCAACCACTTGGAGGCTCTATCAGAGGCATCAAGAGAGACAGAGAGACTCTGTGTGATCCAGGCCAGCCCCAGTGTCCTGAAACTAGGGGCTGTTTGCAAAATACTTGGGCCAATTACGATATATATGTTCCCAGTCCTGAGCCATGTGTGTTTATCCTTCTGACACCCTGGAGGGAGGGTTTTAGGTAGATAGAATTTTGGGTCTGGATCCTGGGCAAATAACACTGCCCACATCCTATTAAATTGGGACACCTGTGTCTAGGACCTCTGTTTATCTTCATAGTGAGCAGGAGGTGGAGCTGGTGTGGACTTTCACTTTATACAACAGAAAATAGACCCAGAGAGGCCAAGTGACTTGTCCAAGATCAGTCCATGGGGCTGAGGTCATGGCCAGCACCAGCTCTCCTGACTCGTGTTCCACACCAGCGTACCAGTCCTTGGCATGTTAGAATGCATGCTCCACGCAAACAGGGTCCACATCATATTTAGCTTTTATTCCAAGCACAGTTTCAAGCACATTATAGGTGTTCATTAACTGTTTATCAGGTGAATGGAAAAACCATCCTCCCAGCATACCTGAGTCAAGCCCCACTGTGGCCCAAGAAAGAGTAAGAAGCAGAGCTACACCCATCCTCTTGCACAGACCCACCTCTGCCCTGCTTGGTGGGCTATAATCCCTACCCCAAAAGTTACTTGTTTGTGTTAAAACAGTCCTTCCCTAAGAGCCCTGCTGAGGTGGACACATCCCACAGACAGTAAAGAGCAACTGAAAAATGAAGGAGGGGTCTTTCTGTGCCATTCATTCAGCCATTTGCTCACTCATTTGTGCATTTGTATTTAAAGCAGTGCCCTCCTCAGTACCCATGGTCTGACTTGCTGTGAACTGAGGCTACTGTCACTGTGGAAAGCAGCAGATGGGATGTAGAAAAGGCAAGTCACAAAGAAAGAGTGACTGTGTGAAGACATAAAGTTGGTGGTCTTAAATCCTAAAGTTCCAAAAGACTCAAAGATTCACTTCTGAGTTATGAGCATGTCCTTATTCTGTGATCTCCAACCCCTCCCAAAGGTTGGCAACTATCTAACTTCCCTTCATGTGACCCTTTCCTTTCCCTGCAAACCATCCATTCTTAGGAGTATGTTAACAGTTTCCTACTGTGGGAGCATGTGGGTCCTTGACAACTCACCTCTTACTTCCTTTCCATGGGGCCAGGAAGTTGTCACCATTGGCAAAAGCCCTACCTGATCCCACAACACTTCTTTCAGAAGGACTCTCCCTGATACCCCTGTATTAAACTCATTTCCCCTCCCCAGGACACAGCCACAAGGGGTCAAAACAATCTCAGACTATTGGACACTGACCTCAGGCCACTCACCTGTATTTATAATCTCTGAAGCACATTTGGTGGGCTTTGAGCTTAGAGATGAGAAGCTTGATAATTTTCAGGAAGAAAAAGAAGTTGACCTGAAAAACAAAGCAGACATGGGTAAGCAACGAACTTCATATGGCTATGAATACTGAGGTCATGCTGAGCCTGGCTCCCAGTTCTTTGTTCGTGTAAGCGAGGGGTAATGCAGCACTAGCCAGTCAGGTAGTAAGTGCTTATAGTAATCTCTACTCTCCCTATGGACATCTCAACTAGAAGCCTGGAGAGGATCCTAAAAAGCCATTTAGTTTATTCTTCTGCCTTAGGGATGCCCATCATCACCTGAGAAAGGCAGATGAACACTTATATTATCGTTACTAACTAATATTTATTGAGTACTTACCAAGCCAGGCATTGGCTAGCTTCCCATACATTATTTTATTTAACCCTCACAATAACCCTCTTAGGAAGTCACATTATTTTTATGAAATTATACTATGAGAAAACAGAGGCACAGATGAGACAAGTACAATTTCCAGTGTCACAAGGCTAGTAAGGGACTGAGTCAGTAATTAAATCTAGACTTATCTGATTACAAAAGTCCCTTCACTTAAAAAAACGACACACTGCCTCCCTCCTGTAAAGAACTCCAGCACTATTGGCATCCAATTTGTTGTTCTGTTATTGACACAGACTTCACTAGAAAGCATATGTTCTCTACTACCCAGACTACTTTCCACAACTGTAAGAACTAGGAACAGTCAGCTCTTCATTATCAGCCTTGGTAGAAATTTTAACATATGTTTACACATTCCTTGACACCTTTCCCATCAAAAGGCTGACCCTAATATTTCCCTTCCCTCTGGAGTGTAAACTAGATTTAGTTATTTGCATCTAATAAAAAAAATGGTGAAAGTGATGTTATGTGACTTCTAAGTCTAGGTCCTCAAAAGGATGACTTTCACTTGGTATCTATCTATCATCTGTCTGTCTGTCTACCCATATCCTCTCATTTCCTCTCTCTCTCCATCCATATCTCTCCTTCTTTCACTTCCTCCATCCCCCACCCATCTATCTCTCTCTCTCTCTCTCTCTGCCTCTCCCTCTCTCTCCCTCTTTCTCTCTCTGCCTCTCCACACTCATTGCTCACTCTGGGGAAAGCCAGCTGCCTTGTGGTGAGGATACTCAAAGAGCCTGTTGAAAGACCCAAATGGGGAAACTGAGTTCTCCTACAACAATAAGCATCACTTGCCAGCCACATGTATGAGCTACCTTAGAAGCTGATCCTCCCGCCCCAATCAAGCTCATATGGTTGCAGCCCTAGCCAACATCTTGACAGAAACCTCATGAGAAATCACAAATCTCCTGGAGAGACAGAAAAGCAAGTGACTGAGTGTGGGCAGGGCTCAGAGAATGAGAACAAGGTTTGTGGGAAGTGATACTGGACATAGAAAGAGGATCACTTCCTGCAGGGTCTTTCATGGTCCCACTGAGAACTTTGGGTTTTCTTTTGAAAGCAACAGAAAGCCACTGGTGAATTTTAAGCAGGCAAGTGACCTGATCAGATTTTTATTCTGAATTTTAAAAAAGATCATTTTGGTTCCTGTGTGGAGGCAGATTGGAGGAGGAGGGTCTACTTGGGAGGCAGTTTCAGAGTTCCTGGGGGAGGATGATGGAGAAGTGAAGTAAAGCAATAGCCCTGGTGCATCAGTGATAGAAAGGAGAAGATGGATTCAAAATCACTAAGGAGTATGAGTCAAATGACCTCTGTTGGTCATGAGGGTCAAAGATGACCCCAAAGTTTCTAAGTAGACCTCAGATGTGTGGTAGTGCCATTCACCAAGAGAGTGACCACATGAAGAAAGAAGAGCATGGGGGAGAAGAAGGAGAAGTCCAGGAAGTTTGAACACAAGATGTCCCAGGCAGTAAGATAGTTATTTCTGGACCTGAACAGAGAGGTCCCAGACAGAGCATGGGGCCACTGGATTAGGCAAGATTATCTAGGGACACTGTGTAAAATAGGGAGAAAGGAAGTCTTAAGAGAACTGCTTTGTAATAAAGAGAAAGGTATAAGTGGAGTCAGCAAACAAAACTGAGAAAGAGCAGCTAGCGCAATCGGAATGAGCCAAAAGGAGATGGTATCCTGATAGCTTACAACAGGAAGAGTTTTAAGAAGGTTTGAAGACTACATGAAATTTAAACAAAATAAGGCAGCAGTTAGCAATAAGGAGTTCCCAAAAAGAAGCTGCAGTTCACAGGTGGGAGCACAAGCCAGACTGCCAGGCTTTCTCTTGTGAATGAAACAGGGAGACGGCCAATGTAAACCACATTTAAGAGGTTTGGCTGCAAGGGGAAGCAGACTGATGGAACAGTAGTTGGCAAGTGATACGGAATGGAAATAATGTCTCTCCACCTCTATTTGCAGGACTACAAAAGGGTTTTGATTGTAATAATTTTTTAAATTGAAAAGACTTAAGGGAGAGGATCTAAGATGGTGGAGTAGGTGGAAGTCATACTCATCTCTTTTAGGACTACATCAAAATTACAATTAAATTATAGAAAAATCAACCTGGATAAGCATCTGAAGACCAGATGCACAGAAGTCTTATAACTCCAAATATACAAAAGAAGTCACGTCAAAACCGGTGGGTAGAGTGAGGAAGTAAAAAGGTCTGGCCCTGCAATCAACTACAGCCATTGAGAATCTGGTTGGATATCTCAGTGGCAGAGGTCCCACTGAGGAGAGAGTGGTTTCAACTCCATGGCAGGCCCCTCAGCCCAAAGCAGCAATGCCAGGAAGAGGAGCCCACATAACATGGGGCTGTGAAAATCTGCAGGGATTCTGTCTTCCCAGGTGAGACAAATACTACTGGAACCACAAGCACCCTCTTAAAGGACCAGTGCACACTATCTCACTTGTGGCACTCACCTTAGGCTTTGGCAGAGGAACAGTGACTCAGAAGGGACAGGAGTCGTACAGGGACAGACTGAGTTGTGTACCTTCAGGGAGAGGGCTAGAGGGAAGGACAGCCACGAGTGTCCTTGTGTTGAGTCCTTCTCCCATGTTGCCCACAGATGCCATCTTTCCTGGGTCAAGCACTTTCCTCCATGTGGCATTGGCCCTGAAAGCAACACTAGCCCTACCCTTCTGACTCCTTGGGGCTTAACCCTACCAAATTCACACACAGCTCCGGGATCCGTTGGTGGAAGCCAGCCTGGGCCCACATTGCAGGCTGTCTGGAAAAACTATCAAGAAATTCTGGGCAAGCTTGGGGGTGCCAGACACACAGGGAGAGGCTGAGTTACATGGCTTTAGGGCAAAGGACATCCTCCCTTGTGGCTGACAAGTGTCATCCTTCCTGTGCAAAGCCCTCCTTCTACAGAGTCAAAACTCAATCTACTTTAGCCTGATCAACTCTGCTGGCTCCACCCTGGATACTCCCTGAGACCCCACCCTACCACAAGGGTTCATAGGCCTCAGAGAGGTGGCAGCTGGCCTAGGTGTACCTGGAGACCTTTGCTGAATGGCCACAGACCCAGCACTGGTGCAAGTTTGAATCTGTATTAATCTGGTAGACACTACTCATCCTTACCTGGTGACTCACTGAGAACCTGCCTCATGCAACTTGCATTTCAGTGGCTAAGCCAATGGCTAGGCAGCTGGTAGAGGCAGATCTCAGAGCATCTTGGGCCTTTTGCTAACATATCCCAGGCCTGATACTAATGACAGCTGGTCTCAACATGCATCTTGGCCCTTCCCACATGCACAAAGACTCAACACAGGCAGCTACCAACTCTGGATCACTTCACAGCTTTTAACAGGTTGCACAGGGTTGGTCACAGGCAGCATTTGACACTGACCTGCTCTGGAGTCCCTCTCAAGAAGTCTCAGGACCAACACATCTAGTGGCTGAGCTTAGACCACATCAGAGTATGACCCAATTAGTTCTATAAGCAGCACACCAAAATGGAGGTTTTGATAAACATCAGACCCTTCTAGGGCAAATCTTCTTCATGGGGTCACCCCCACTACACAGAAGTTTGTACACTATGGTTGGGGTCAACCCTCACAGTCAACCAGCTTGAGGGTCAACTCCATGCACACATGGGCCAACAGCAATCAAGACTCAACTACAACAGAAGGGCTCACATAAACCATGCAAGAGACATTGCTGGAGCACCCAGCTCTGTTGATCAGGGAGGCTGCACCCTGAGTCCCACAGACCACTTACTACATAAGGCCACCCTGCTGAGACTGGAAGACACATGGATCTACCTAATACACAGAAACAAATATAGAGAGACAGCAAAAATGGGGAGATGAAAATTATTTCTCAAATGAAAAAAAAAAGAAGAATCCCCAGAAAAAGAACTAAATAAAGTGGAGGCAAGAAATCTACCAGATGCAAAGTTCAAAATGATGACTACAAGGATGCTCAAGGAACTTATGGGAAGAGTAAATGAACTCAGTGAGAACTTCAACAAAAAGGTAGTAAGCATAAAAAAGGACATAGAAACCACAAAAAGTAACCAGTCAGGAAAAAAGAATATAGTGTCTGAAATGAAGAATACACTAGCAGGAATCAACAGCAGATTAGAGGAAGCAGAGGACTGAATCAATGATTTGGAAGACAAGGTAGCAGAAAACACACAATTAGAGAAGCAACATTTTAAAAAATAATTTAAATACTGAGTATAGTTTAAGGGACCTGTGGGACAACATCAAGCATGACAACACTCACACCATACGGGTACCAGAAGGAAGAGACAGAGAGCAAGGAATCGAGAACCTATTTGAAGAAGTAATCACTGAAAACTTTCCTAACCCACTGAAGGAAAAATACGCACAAGTCCAGGAAGCACAGGGAGTCATAAACAAGATGAACCCAAAGAGGCCCATACCAAGGCACATCATAATTAAAATGCCAAAGGTTAAAGACAAAGACAGAATCTTAAAAAGCAGCAAGAGAAAGGCATTTAGTTACATACAAGGGAGCTCCCATAAGATTGTCAGCTTATTTCTCAACAAAAACATTTTAGACAAGAATGGAATAGCATGAAATATTCAAAGTGATGAAAATCAAGGACCTACAACCAA